CCCTCACGCTTGTTTTCCCCCTCCCTGCTGAAACGTCTGCTTAGGCCCGCGGTCCTGAGGAACCACGAGCGTGCGTATGGGAAGTCCCTGGGCCTTCATGTCGTGTGTGAGCTGATGTGGCGCCCTGCCAGTCCAGCTCTGGACGAAGTTTACCCCCTTGGACAAGGGGGCCATCAGAGGACTGGCGCGCCGAACTCCCTGGACCAAGTGCCGCGCTCAGAAACTCGGGTGTGTGATGCCCGACCTCTTGTGCCCCATGTGGGGGGGGGCGCGGCGGCACGGGCTCGTCGGCGCTGGCGTCCCCTCGCCGTGGCGTCCTCGGCGGCGCCGTGCCCCGCGCCCCCGCTGGGCATCCCGAGGAGGAGGAGGAGGAGGAGGAAGAGGAGGAGGAGGAGGAGGGGCACACCGCGTCTGGCGCTGCATCCACGGTCCCACCCAGGAGCTTCGGGACGGTCCTCTTGGCGGGTCGCTCTGCCTCTCTGGCCAGCGAGCGTGCGACCTCTCGGAGTCCATTCGGGAGCGGCCAAGAGGGGGGTGTCCAAGAGGGGGGGGTGCAAATCATGACCGGCGGCATGTGCGCGGCCCAGCGGGGGGGCCTGGGACGTAATGAAATAAGAAGGGGCGCCATGACATCTGAGGGAAAATCATGGCCCGCGCCATGAAATCCACCCCCCCCTGGTCATCACCCCCCTCTTTTCCGCTCCCGATCCATCGGGGCCAGGGTCGAGCCGGTGCCCCCGAGCCCCCGTCATCTGCAGCAGCGGAGGCGTGTCGGATCGTTCTGGCAGTGCGGCCACTGCTGGCGTGTTCGGCGGGGGCGCGGCCTCGACATGGTTTTCGATGTGCACGAAGAAGCACCGCCTCGAGGTCGGCACGCTCCAGGAGTTGGAGCAGAAGTGCATCGGACTCGCGTGCCCGGAGGGAGGCATGATCTGCAGATGCCGCCGTGGCAAAGCGTCCTCGACGGGCAATGATGTCAGGCACCTCACGCAGAAGTGCAAAGGGAAACCCGCCAACCATCGGAGCGCTAAATCCATTTGGAGTCGGATCAACGCTGGCAAGCACCCCAAGCTAAATTACGTTTATCCTTAGGACGGGCGTGTCCCCTTACAGGGGGATGTTGGCCGAAAAATGAAAAATATTCCAAAAATACTCAGAAGATATTCAAAAATACTCAAGAAATAATCCCCATACAATTTTTGACTATTTTGGAATATTCCCCCTGTAGAGGGACGGGCCCGACTTAAGTTTAGCTGGACGCTGAGGCTAACAGCTGAATCCGCCTGCTTGACTAACCGACCCCTCGTGAGCACCGACCTCCTGCATTCGTCATTTCTTGTGCTGCGGGGGCGTGTGCTTCCACGTCGACGCTGAAGGGGCCCTGGGACACACAAATTCGCCGGCCCAACGGGCCAGAGGCGTGCTAAGGTCTCCGGTAACTGGTTAACAGCATCTCTAGTTCGCGCGCGCGGGGCGGCCCCTGGGGGTCCCCGGACGAAAAGTACCCCGGGGGATCCCCGACCGACCCCCGAGCGATCCCCGGGAGACTCCCCCAGAGCGCTCCAGGAGCGCACCAACAGGGCTCCGAGACGTCCCCGAAACCCTCAAGACGGGTCCAGATGCCCCCAAGAGGCTCCCAAGATGGTACCCAAGGGTTCCGAGATGCCACATGATCGCTCCAAGACGCCCAAGATGGCCCCCAGACGCCCCAAGAGGCCTCCAAGCACTCCCAAAAGGGCCCCAAGAAGCAAAATTCATAACTTTTCCTTTGGTTTTTGAGAGATTTTGGAGCTTCCACCTTTTCGGCTTCCCGACGCCCCAAGACGGCCCAAGAGGCCCCCAAGATCGCCCCAAGAGGGCCCAAGAGGCCCCCAAGAGGGCCCCAAGATGGCCCAAGAGGGCTCGAAGACGGCCCAAGAAGCCTCCAAGACGGTCCAAGAGGGCCCCAAGAGGGAAACGAAACAACATTTCGAGCCCTCGGCCCTAAGAAGCCCCTACGAGGCCCCAAGAGGCCCCTAAGAGGCCCCAAGAGGCCCCCACGAGGCCCTCAGGAGGCCCCCAAGAGTCCCCCAAGCGGCCCCAGGAGGCCCCCCAAATGCCCCACCGAGCGCCCCAGGAGTCCCCCAAGCGGCTCCAGGAACCCCCAAAGCGCCGCATTGACACCAGGCCCTCGGGCAAACGGCAGACATGAGACTGTATGGGCCGGCGGAATGAGCGAAGCGATTAATAAATACACACAAATAAAAGGATTCCCTACATGTTCCTATAGTTTATGGGTGTCTTTCCCCCCACTTCCCATATTTTCCCATATTTTCTTTGGAATCAACGATTAAGTGTGTCTGTGTTCTTCCCCTCCTGATGCATGTGCGTCTGCCAGCGTTTCATTGCAGTGCCGTGCTCGTCGGCTGCTCGGCACATCCCAGAGGTCGAGGGGACCTCAAACCCAAATTCGCAGCAGAGCGGCGCAGTGGCAACTCCGGCGCCCCCCACGCCCCCTGATTGAGTGTTTTCTGAGAAGAACAGACCCAGGCAGATCTTCCCGAATCAGTTCCTTCAAACTTCCCTCCTCCTGCCTTTCCTCCTCCTCCTCCTCCTCCTCCTCCTCCTCCTCCTCCTCCTGCTCTTGTCCTCCTCGTCAATCACCCCCGCCGCCGTTCACCAGAAGATGATGAGCTGGAATGTGTCAGAAGAAGGCCTCCCGCAACCGAGTTTCAAATCTCACCCTTACCCGTCGGTCGGAAGGCGTAGGTGAACACATGAAGTGGAAAGGCGAGTACGGTAGCTTGGGTCCAGGCCGGCCCGAAGAACAACCACGCACATCAACAGCGCAGATCGACTCCTGAGGTCGGAAGGCGCCTGAAGCAGATTGGGATCTGGGCGTCCAAAAACACATCGCTTCAACGACCGACGGGTACCCCCCCCGTCCTGAGGACGGGGGGAGGCGGAGGAGAAGGGGGGAAGGAGGAGGGGGGAAGGAGGAGGGGGGGAGGAGGAGGAGGAGGAGGAGGAGGAGGAGGAGGGAGGAGGAGGAAGGAGGAGTAGGAGAGGAAGGAGGAGGAGAGGAGAGTGGAAGGAGGAGGAGAGAGGAGGAGGAGGAGGAGATGAGGAAGGCAGAGTGAGGAGGAGGAATGAGGAAGGAAGAGATGAGGGGGAGGAAGGGAGAGGACGGCCGGCTGCCGCCGCCGCCCGCGCCGCCCGCCCACCCCTCCCGCCCCGCCGCCGCTGACGGCCTCCTCTCCTCCGCCTCCTCCTCCTCCCCCTCCTCCTCCTCCTCCTCCGCCATCCTCCCCCTCTCCTGCTCCTCATTCCTCCTCCTCCTCCCCTCCTCCTCCTCGCTCCTCCTCCTCCACCTCCTCCTCCTCCTCCTCGAGCCCCCCGCCCCCCCCGCCAGCTGCCGCTGCGCTGCCCGGGCAGGCGCCGTCGCAGCGGGAACGGCAGGACACGTTGAAGGGGCCCCAGGATACACAAATACATACACACAAAGAAACATATCCCCCATAGTTTCCCATATGCTCTGGGTTTCTGTCTTCCCCCCCACTTCCCATACTTTCCCATATTTTCCTTGGGATCGACGATGAATTGTGTCTATGTGTTTTTTGTCCCCTCCTGAAGCCGCCGCTGCACTGCCCGGACAGGCGCCGTCGCAGCGGGAACGGCAGGACACCCTTCCACAGAGCGCGAGGCCCTCCGCCGGCCCAGCCTGCAGGACGCGTGCGGGGGCGCCCCCCCCTGGGATGCGCAGGGACGTCCAACAAGGGCACGAAGGCCACGAGGGCACCCCCACCGAACCGGCCTCGATCCTCTACCTCTGCCCGACCGTCAGTCCTCACACACACACACACACACACGGCTGGACTCCCGTATGGAACATCTGGAGGCCACCCGCAAAATACACGCGCGGGGGGCCAAAGTGCCTGCCCATACTGGCCCGGAAACAAGCAGCACCACCCAACCTGCGGCCCCACGGGGCTCAGCGTAGATCCAGAAATCCGGGTGGGCTGCCGCACGGCATACGCCGCGGCCCCCGATGGGGCCGCAGCGCAACATGGAGGGCCGCAGGTGGGGTGGTGCCCTTTGCTTGCTGGTCGGCATGCGAGGGCCCCGCGCTGGAGAGGCATGTGGCCACATGCGCATCCAGCGCTCGCCCGGGCCGGCTGCGCCATCTGTACCCAAGCTTCCTGGAGCAACGCAAGCTGCACCAGCAGAAGATCTGGGTCCGGCGCAGCACCGGGAAAGATCCGGGCGGGCCTCCGAACGTGTGAGGTCGTGCTGCTTCTTCGAGTGTCACCACCCGCCCACACTGGGGAGACCTTCAGCCCGCCAGCCAGACCTGTCTCCTGCCAGGTGAAGCTGGCGTGCCGTCTCCTGCGGGCTCCGCAGCACCCATCCTCACCGGTGTACGTGTCTGCGTGCGTGCTGGAAGAACAGCCCCACTGGAAGCCTCCCAAGTGGAGTCTGGGTAGATGGGCTCGGAAAAAACACTGTGTCGCCAGCATACCGCCGATGCATCGGCGCCGTTGGCGTAGATAACGTCCGGCTCCACACCGAGTCGTATCGCGGAGGCATCGGCGATGCGGCACGATACTCCGACCGCACTGGCTGGAACCCCTCTTGGGAGGCCTGAACTTCCTTCGACCCCAGCGGGCTGAGGCTGAGGCTGAGGCTGCGCCTGCAGCGTCCTCGTAGGGTGACGGCCCTACGCGGGGCGATAGGCGGTGGCGCCAGGGCACCAGAATCCGATCCGAGCAGCAATCCGTGGTGGTGTCGCTGTGAGCCCTCCTGTTTGGGAGGGGGGTCGTAGGAGACCTCCAAACAACACACCACCACCACCACCACACCACCACCACCACCACCACCACCACCACCACCACCACCACCAGTCCAGGGCCCATCCTGGGCCCTGGACTGGTGTACAGGCCCTCCTGGCCAAGGCCTGGAGGGCGCCCCTCCGAGCTCGACCGGCTCTGACGACGCCGAGCTTGGCCGCCCCCGGGCGTGGC